CTCCTTCCTCATGGGAACTTCATCTAGTGTTCATCTAGTGCTTCAAAAGGTCATTGTGACCTCTTCAGAAGATGCTGGCTCCAGACATGAATTATAAAAATATAGCGTAGGGTATGCAAGGTGTGCTAATGGCCTCCGGTTACTTCTTGTAACCTTCTTGGAAGACAAAAGGTCAATCTGGGTAGAAGAGAGGATTCTTTTTAAAAAGTGCATTTTATAGAAATTAAACAAGTTCACAAGTAAAAAGACACCATCTTGGAGCTAAAACTAAAACAAATGTCTTCTGTGTAATTTAATAAATCTCTTTATTAGGCATTTAAGAGGAGGAAGAATGTAAATGCTTTTAAATGAAATTTTTGCATTTGATTTTTAAAGGATGGTTTAGTATAATTTAAGGACAAGAATGCTACCAAATTGAATCCCAGACATATATATAGGGAATTGGTTGTCTGCTTGTTCGATTATTCATATTTGCTCTGAGATATTATGTATTAAATTTAATATGACATTCATGAATTAGGAAAGCAATTTGCTTATTAGCAACAGATTCTGCCTTAGCTTTCCTGACTGATCTCTGTAATGCCAGAAGTGAATATGAAAGTATGTTCAAGATTTTGGCAAAGCGTGTTTGCCATGCAAGTATGCTTTGCCAATTAATCCGAAGTGTACTTGAGATGTGAAACTATAAATGAATACAATTGCTTTAAGAATTCAATAAGGCAGCCCAAATAAAATACAGGGAACCAGATTTTCTAGCACAAAAAAATTCTGAACTCTTCTAATGAAGGTACTTTACATTAATAGAAATACCTCCATGTGTTGTTTGGTATGGAAATGTGTAATAGAATTGGTCTTTTGGCAATTGGCTATAAATCCCTGAAAGTTATGTTAGAGAAAGGAACCTGTTTGTGGCTTTTCAACAGCTGTAGGAACTAGAACATTTACTTGTTTAGCCTCAGGGCCAGCTGGGATCACAAACACCTGAGGCAGGACATGGAGCTATGAAACATTTTACCTTCTCAACTATGAATATTGAGTATCTGAGTTTGTACTTTCATTTTGCCAGACATGGCTCAAAACAGAGGGCAGCTGTTACTCTCATATTTCTATGAAATGTTTTGCCAAACTGCCACCAACAGAAATTTCACCTGTGGAAATTGCAAGCCAGTGCCATGGATTTAGAAATGATGGAATGCTACCATGGACATTTGAGTATGGTGGGAATTCATGTGAACATAATAAGCACAGGGAAATAGCCAAAAAAGGTGGAGCATGGCCACCTGTTCTTAATGCCAAGCACATGTTTTCCCTGATCCCACAGCTAGCAGTGCTGCTTCTCCACCTCTGTGAAGAACTCCAGGTTTCAGTAGATTCAAAGAAATAACAGGTATCTAATAGCAGGAAGATGAAAAGCATTGCTCTTAGAATCTTGTTTTAATGCACCTTCAGGCTCACAAGAGAAGTGGATGCGGTCAGGTTTAAATCTGTTCTAAGGAGGTTATAAGATCTCCAAGGAGAAGTCAGGACCATGAACAGCTCCCAGCCAGCACTTTCCATTTTTTGCAGCAATGAAAGGATGCTGTCTCAGCAGAAAGATAAAACTATTTGAAATTTTATATGGGCTAATTTGATATGGGTCAGGCATAGCATGCCAGATATAGTTAAACTGCAACTTTTCAGCAACTATTTTTCACCATTTCCTATTCTGTCTAATACCGCTGGGACTTGCAGTCCAGCAACTTCTGGAGGGATGCATTATTCGAACACTCAATGCAGGGATAGGCAACCTTTCCCGTTTAAGGGCGAGGGACTTCAGCTCCCAGAAGCCTCAGCCATGTTGGCCAATAGTCCCATGTTGACCAATAGCTCCTGGGATTCTGGGAGCTGAATTCCCTTGGCCCTTAAAAGGGAAAGGTTGCCTACCCCTGACTTAATGTATGTATGCTGAATTTGGCCCCATCTCCCTACAGGAATCATCTGTGTTTCTAAAGAGGTCTTTCATGATTTGTACTGGTTGGGTTCTGTGAGATTATGGTGATGCTGTTTGGATCTTCTGAGTCCAAGGATGGTGGTAGGGTCACATCCTCTGCTAGGAAAAGGTTATGGAGGAATCTTGCTAGATAATGAAGGTTTTTTTTTAGTGTACTTTGCTTCCTTCAAGGATATGTCAAGCCTTCATTAGGGTATTGTAGACCTGTAGGGCCAAGGACTCTAATATTAAAGGAGGGGGAACATCTGTACTTGATTTATTGGCTTCAAGGAATGCACCTTGTATAACGTTTGATGATTTCCTGGATGCAGGCCATTTTTTCCCAATCCTCTGCTTCTTCTAAACTCTAGAAACCCTTGGCTGTCTCCTTTTTCCGCCTCAAGGAAATACTGTATTAACATTAAAGTATTGTGATTTTCTTTCCTGAAAAAGATTGTGCATGTGTTTCATCTCTGATACTTGCAACAATAATTTTAAAAGAAACTGACAAGCCTTTCCCTGCATCCAGGGAATGGATGGACAGACCCCTTCATTACAGAAGTGAAACTGTTCCCCCAGGAACTCTGTTAGCAGAGACAAACAGATGGAGGAGAGAGGAAGGATGTTGAAAATATTGGCAAAGGGACAGGTAGGTAATGTACACAGAGTAATCATAGCACACCATCTCTGACCCTTCACTGACCTTTGCCACAGAGTAGTATAGGCCAGCATCCAGGGTCAGCAAGTAGGGAAATGCCTTCTTAGGCAGAGTTTTAAGTTGGTAATGTGTGTTTAGTGAAATGGGGGAAAGATACTTGCATCATAACTGAAGCATCTTAAAAGGCATGTCAGATTTTGCCCCTGCAGCTCAAAGGGAACAAAGGTCTTACTGTTAATTCAGAACGGAAAGTATAAAAAATAGCACAGATACATTCCTGCAGTTTCCTGCACTAGCCTTTCATAATTAAAAAGCTAAAGAAAAACTGTGTGTGTGTGATTTGAGCTCCTGGATCATTTCTGTCTTCTATTCTGATTGCAATCAATCAATCAATCAATCAATCAATCTTAAGACTCAGCATTTCTCTTCATCTGAAATGTGTACTGCCTGTAATATTAAAATATTTTAGGAAGGGGGGATGCAGATTGGTGGCCCTAGGCTGTCCTGGGAAGCAGAGGATTGGGGCTGCTGCTACCACATGCAGCGGCCCCGATTCTCCTTTTTGCTGACCTGGAAAAGAGCAACAAAACGCTACACCTTTCAGAGCCGGCAAAAGGACACCCTAAGAGCCACAGTGCAGCTCTTTAGCACCTCTTCCAGCGAAGTATGTCAGGACGCTGCACTGGAAGGGCGTCACAACATCCTCGGCGTGGGGTTGGGGTGCCTAGCATGCGGCTGCCCCTCCCCATCCCTGCCTTTGGGCCGTTCTGTAGAGTTAATATTTACCTTGTGCTGTTTTTACTTATTTGTACATCTACTTTGTTAACTAAGCTCTGGGGTATAAGTTGTTTAAATAGCTGTCATTAAAATAAAAATAGAGCAATACACAGAAGCTATTTAATTCTTCTGACTCACATGTTTACTGACATTATACACTTGCATCTATTCAGGGAAATGTCAGTAAATAATTAAGCAGTTCATCAAGAATAATATATTAATTGGATCCTTTTTCTGTCTTGTTATATAGAGAGTAATCCCTTAATTAAGAGAGCTCCTGGAGAGGACAACAGAGGGTCTGCTGGGGACTGTGTATCTTCCTCTTCAAAGGTAGAGAGGAAGGATGCTGTCCTAGAGAGGAATGCTGTCATGCTGCATGACCTCTGGAACTTTGCAAGAATTGGGGCTGAAGAAGGGATTTTTGGAGGCAGGGAGGAATACAAGGACATACCTTTTTGGACTACAATGGCCAGGATCTTTCATCTTCAACGACTGCTGGATGTCCTGGTTGGAGGATTTGGGGTGTTGTGATCCAAGCAGACTTTGTGTCTTACCACACTCAAAGCCGTCTCATAATATGTGTGTACGTGCCTTTAAGTTGCCTGTTTACTTAGGGTGACCGCATGAATTTCATTGGGTTTTCTTAGGGAAGGAATATGCAGAAGTGGCTTTGCTGGTTCCTTCCTCTGAAATATAGCCTACAGTCCTTGGCACTCATTGGTGGTCTCCTATCCAAGTACTAACCAGGGCTGTCCTTGCTTAGCTTCCAAGATCAGATAGGATCTGATGCCTTTAGGGTATTTAGGTTGTGTGCTGTCAAGTTGTTTCTGACGTATGGTAACCCTGAAGCAACCCTGTCATGGGGCTTTTTTGACAAGATTTGTTCAGAGGAGGTTTGCCATTGCCTCCCCCTGAGGTTGAGAGCATGTGACTTACCCAAGGTCACCCAGTGGGTTTCCAGGACCAAGCACTGGTTTCCAGCATCGTAGTCCAATACAGCAGCTTTTAAATTCATTCCCATATCTTAACCTTTGTTTCTTCTTTTGTCCCAGTCATTGTCACATGCAGTAGTTAAAAAGCTTCTACTTGCTGAGCACGCTTAGCATTCAGCCCAATTCTTGGGTCCCTGCTGAAAGAGATCCTTCTTGTCTCCTTTATTTCTACAATCATGCTGTTAGACAAAAATCTTCCTTTTCCCATGATTTCATGGCCAAGCTGGAAATCAAACCCTGGTCTTTAGAATCATAGTCCAATGCTCAGTTCAACTGTATCAGCTAGGCCACACTGGCCTGCTCATAATTTTTTTTCTTTATTCCATTAGACATTTCATCTAAAGCATAACCACAAAAATCTGTGTGCTTTAGAACTACGGCAGACACTTAAGAGAGAACCACAAATATATATTTGTGTAAATTTTGGATTAACTCATGTAAAAACCCATGTAGAGGAGATGCTAACACTCTAGTGTGTGTTTTGTATTCTTAAACTGAGCTCAGTTCACTGATAGAAATGCTGTGGTTTGCATACGGTAGTTCTTAAAAATAGTAAATTGATGGTATATGTTCTGTGCCGTTAAGTCAGTCTTCAGTAGTTTCATGGCCAAGCTGGAAATCAAACCCTGGTCTCTAGAGTCATAGTCCAATGCTCAAACCACTAAGCCACACTGGCCTGCTCATAATACACACCACACAAAGGGAGTATACACACACACACACACACACACACACACACACACACACACACACAAACACACACTTCAGGTCAATACATTTTGTCTGTGACATAATTTTTACAGAGTGTAGTTGGCATAAAAGCAGCGAAAGCCTCTTTATTATCATGGAAAAACAATGGATTTCTTTCTAAATATTTAAAAGGCCAAAGAGAACCAGTGTTTAGGTGGCTGTATTTCTTAGGGGGGATGCAGACCAGGGCGTCGGAGACGCCCTGGTCCGGAGCGCCGCCGGAGTTCAGCCTCCGGACCACGGCGCTCCTGCGGCGAATCTATAAGGACCGCCAAAATGGCGATCCTTTTAGATTCTCCGGAAAGTGCGCCCTAAAAGCGGCGGGCGCACTTTCCGGGGCTCAAACGCCGCGGCGCGTTCGGCTGCCGCGGCGTGAGGGCAACCCGCAGTCGCCGGCCGTGCGGACGGCCGGCGCTTCCGGGTGCGCCCTCAGGAAGAGGAAGGGCCGCCGAACGTGCGGCGGCTCCTCCTCTTCCGGGCCTCGGAGACGGCCCAATTATCCGTCTGCCAAGGCCCTTAGTCAAGGAGTCCTTAAAAGGACTGTTATTTTAAATTCTGGCCTGTTGTGTGGCCTAGAATAATACCACCATGACTCAAACCTTTTGTACTGAATGTGTGTTTATATGTAATTCACAGGAAAGGCTGTGAAAAATATCCAGAAATCTTTTGATCTGAAATAGGGATGGGCAGAAATAGACTGGAATGCAGTGGTAGGATCTTCTCCATCCTTCCCGCCTTACTATTATTCCATCCAATGACCTGCTCCTTTTTTTTCTTCATTCCATTAGAAATTTCATCTAAAGCAAAACCACAAAAATCTGTGTGCTTTAGAATTACAGCAGACACTTAAGAATCACAATTATATGGAAATTTTGGATTAACATTGAAACATTGCCCAGCTGATACAGTTGAACTGATCCATCTTCATGTAAAAACCCATGTAGAGGAGATGTTAGTGCTCTAGCATGTGTTTTGTATTCTTAAACTGAGCTCAGTTCACTGTTAGAAATGCTGTGGTTTACATACGGTAGTTCTTAAAAATCGTAAATGTAGTGTACTGTAGTAAATATATTTTAGTAATATGTAAAGATCTTGGGAAGAAATGAGAGTGGCATTTTATTCAAAAGTGTGCTATGAGGCAAGAGGGGTGAAGATATTAATGAATACTAGTGTTTACTTCAATAGCAAGGGTTTAGTTTCTGATTGTAAGACACAAAACGTTTGATCCAGCCTGCTTAAAACAATTTTCTCTTCCAATAGTACATCAGGATAGCAATTTTCTGATTCAAAAAAGAGGACACATATGCAAATCTGCATTGGAAAATGTATCTTATAACAGAATTCATTACAAAGACATTTGTGATACGTTATTACTGCAAGGCCTATCACAGAATATAAATTAATATGCCAAGGGTTGGAAGATAACAGAATTGCTAATCTAATAATGTTCTTACAGAATAATTGGGTCAAATTTTTGCTGTTAAATTGGCTACTGTACTCTCTGTGATAATACTTGAAACAAAAATGCATGCTCAGCCATCATTGCTTCAACGTTAATATCTTTTTTTCTTTCTTTGGCAGTTATGAAATTTGAGTGTGTGTGTGTGTATGTGTGTATGATAGCAGCAAAGCTAAACCAACAAATGCAGTTTGTCTATAGTTGGAAAGCAGAGACTAATGGACAAATAGAGTAGTGTTTGAATTGTTCATGCATAGATTAGTAGCATTTTTGCAACCTTCCCGCTCCCCACACAGCACACATTGTGCTTAGAAACTGATAAGAATGTTAAAGCTTGAGTTCTGAAATCAAAACTGCAGTTCCTCTAATAAGATTATCTTAGCTTGTGGTAGCAGCAACAACAATTAAGAAGCTTGATGTCTTTACACTTCTCTGTCTCTCTCTTTCTCTTTCTGAGGATGCTGATAGCTGAGCTCTTCAGCCTGTGGAGAGCCATCATTCATTTTCTCTCCCTTTCCTATTTTCCCAAAGAAAAGCCCAAGGAAAACCCAGGTCCTTTTTGTTTTTGAGATGATATATATGTGTGGGTATGAGAAAAGGGAGAACACACAACCAGTTATTTTCAGCAAGCCTGTAATATTTACCCTAGGCTTCTGCCTTTTGCATGCAAAAGGTCACTACTGAACTGTATTAATTTATTTTAGAAATGTATGTTGAGACATATTGTTGGTCTTAGGTTACATTTTTAGGAGAACAAAATGAAATTGCCAATGAAATCTGAAATTACAGAAAACAAATTTTAAATTACCCCATAACATTCAATAGTAATCAGGGATGAAGGTACACTGAAATGCCTAGTATAACAAGTCTGAATTTAAATTGTGCGGAATGCCCTTCATTTGTAAAAAAATAACATATTACACAAAAGAGTAGACTTTATTTATACATATTTTTATAAAATCTGTTATTAGTCTAAGGGTGAAATGGCTTTTTTAAATAATATAATTTCTAATTTTAATTGAATTTTAATTGAATATTAATTTTAATTAATATTATGTATTATATATTTTGACGGTTTATTCTAGTGTTTATTTGTGCCTATTATGATGACAATTGTTGTTGGTTTGTCTGTTATTATTTGATCAATTGATTGTAAATAAAAATTGATTGATTGAGTCTAAGGGTGAAATGGCTTGTCTTCACTGGGCAAAATACTCTCTCTGGGCAGCTGCCTCCCAATGTGATCCCTGTTTGTTTCCTGGTGTCACCGCTAATATTGATCCTGGACACCTTGTTCTGCCTTCAGAGCAACTTGCACCTGCAGTACAGTGCAGATGGCTCACAGGGATTGCATGGAAGACATCTGCCTGTCACCGCTGTGTAGACAGCTAAAAACCTGGAGTAAAAGGTAAGGATTTAAAATTTGGGTCAAGGGGAAGAAAGGCCAGAATGAGTGTAGACATAGGACTTTAGAGCCCTGGTGGCACAGTGGTTAAATGCCTGTATTGCAGCCACTCACTCATAGACCACAAGGTTGCGAGTTCAATACTAGCCAGGGCTCAGGCTAGACTCAGGCCTGCATCCTTCCGAAGTTGCTAAAATGAGTATCCAACTGTTGTGGGGCAATGTGCTTACAGTTGTAAACTGCTTAGACCTCCCATAGCGCGATATGCAGAGGTATATAAATGAAGCTGCTTTGTTTTCTTTGCTTTATCACATGGCAAAAAAAGATGGGAGCATAGCGCTATACTCCCGTCAATATCGGGCAATAATGCAAAGATTGTCATGTGATATCATGTGAAAATCTTCATGTTATTGCCCGATATTGACAGGAGCATAGCGCTATGCTCCTGTCTTTTTTTGCCGTGTGATAAAGTCCCTAGTAAAGTTTTTGCCCAATTCAGGGTTTTGGCCCTGCATCATATAAACAGGATGCAGTGAGCCGGGGGGGGGGGAGAATTTGGAGTAAATAATCCATGTAGACAAGTCCCAATTTACTTGTCTTGTAAGCAGTTTCCAGGAATGGAATGGGTGAGAAGAGGATTTCTCTTCTCTTCCCTTAGCAGCTCCTTCTATACAATCTACTCCAGATCCTTGGGAAAGGCAAAAAAGAAAAAATCCTATCAAATGAGCAGACATTTTACACAGGACCGTAGCAGATTCTATGGTAAATGTTCAGTAGCCATAGCTGGGGCATCTGGTGTTTTCATTCCCCTTTCATAACATCTAACCAGTACAGCTTACATGATATTGTGATGTTGCAACATTCCACATCTTTTAAACTTCTGGTATCAACAATGTTGAAAGAGAGGAACATGCAAAATGTCAAATCACCAGGGTCTGAATGAGACAGTTAAACCATTTACTTTTTCCCCCCTTTCTTTTTTTCTTTCTTTTTTTTTGGGGGGGGATGTAGTGATGCAACTACTGTCACATACAGTATCTCCAGAGTCTGATCATTTTAGTAATGACTGTGTTTATGTTCTGTCCTTCATTCTCTCCCCATTTTAGCTTTGGATGGTTGAACTGATTTTTTTCCAGAGTTTAAATCCTCCCTTGAAGCATTGGAAACCTGTGTAATTCTTTCTCTGGGATTGATGTCAAATTAGTTGATACAGAACAGTCCTCTGCTACAAAGTTGGCACAAGATTACCTCATGTTAACATTTAGCAACTGCTAAATGTATTTCAGTGAAAGCACACAAACAGTTGCATGCAAACATGGGTCTTTGTTGGATGGGGTGGGAGGGAGGGAGTGGAATTGAAGGAAAGGCAACGTTTGCGTAGCAAAACTATGTGTGAGAATATTGCGAGGGCCAGAATTGTAGCATAAAGATTGCCTGCCTAGAATTGTCATGTGCAAATGAACCTTGAAAAAGCTGGCAACTGCCAGTTCATCAAACAAAGAAAGCAGTCTTTAGAATGAAGACTGTCTCTTCTATTTTCTTTTCTTTTCGTTTTGTTTTAGTAAACACATCGACCAAACACATTCTCCAGCTAGCCTAGTTCATTGCTTTGTGGAAGGTACAGAGTACTTCCTCACTTATTATGGGATCCTGAATAATATCTTGCTTTCATTTTCTTCCTGTGTATTATGGTAGGTTTATAGTTTTTAAAACTTCATTGTCATATTCATTGGTTTGTAGCTTCTAATTCATGTCCAAACTTTGAAATGTGTAATCACCTATTTGTAAACGTTCTTTTCTCCCACCCCATGTGATTACTGCTTCTGCATATGCATTCTCAAAAAATGCAAGAGTAGCTGCTTTGTAAAGGACTAGATGAGCTTTTAGACAACAGTTTCCAGAATTACTTAGGCAGCATGTTTATTTCCAGAGGAATCCTTGGAGGTGTAGTCCAAAAAAGTAATATATTCTGCCATCTAGTCCTTCCCAGTGTCATCGCTGGCAGGCAGCCAATCTGTAGCCATTCCTCATTGACACAGAAAGCCCTCCCCTCTCTTTACCTC